TTCTATCTTGATGTTTGTGTTCCCCCCTTCCCAGTTTTATGTGAGCCGCCCTGAGTCCCCCCAGGGAAAAAGGCGGCCTACAAATTCTAATAAAACTACAAAAAAACTACAAACTTCTGAAACCTCCGGAGGGCTTCCTGCAGGGTGGGGGAGGCTGTTTTCGCCCTCCCCAGGCTGCTAGAAAGCCTCTGGAGCCTGGGGAGGGCGAAAAAAGAGGTCCATTGTGCGCCAAAAGCAGGGGAGAGGGCAGGGGTCACGCATACATGCGTGCGGGATGGTCATGCACATAGCATTATGGGCATGGGCGCACCTGTGAACAACCTCCCTGCACTCCCCCCGCTTTTGGCAAGTGATGGGAAAAAGTTTAGCCATCACTGATCTAGGTAGTGTGTTATTGGCTTGGCCAATTCCGCAACCGCATATTCCTTTGCTTTCCACTGATGGGCTGGTGCTTGGATGTGTTGGCCCAATCCAACATTGAGTTGCAATGAGCCAATGAATTGTACCAAATCAAGGAAGGTGGGGTTCAACATTTCATTTCTGGGCAAGAGTAAAGCTTGGGCTTTACATTTTACTTTGGGCGTTCTTGTGTTAGTAGTGCTTCATAAAATCTTAGTAAGGCCACACTTGGAAAACTGGTTCCAGTTTTTGACCACATTACAAAAAAGATGTGGAGATTTTGGAAAAAGTGCAGAGAAGGACAACTAAGATGATTAAAGGCCTAGAGAGTGAAACGTACGAAGAATGGTTGCAGGAACTGGATGGAACTGGAATTGGGTAGGGCCAGTCTAGAGAAAAGAAGGACTAGGGTTGACATGATAGTAGTATTCCACGTCCTTTTTTGTTGTCCCCTTGCCTTCAATGGATAGAACTAAAAAAGGAGAAAAGCAACCTGGAATTAAGGAGAAACTTCCTAGCAGTAAGGTCAGACAATTGTCTGAAATGCTACAGGATCTCCTGCTTGAACTAGAAGACCTCTAAGGTCCCTTCCAGCTTTATTCAGATTGATTCATTGATTGACCCATTTTGTTGTTTTAGCAAACCTTTCATGACTTTCCATAATTTTCAATCTTGAATATCCAATATTTGTTTGTTGTTTTCCGTTTGAGAGTGCCATTGATACAAAAGTAAGATTTTATGTCTGTCAAGTTCTGTGTCCTTTGGCATTTTGACTGGAATGATATGGAACGTTGGTCTTATTGGGAAGCTGCCAATGAATTACATTCATACAACATGTCTCTGTACAAGATGTCAAGCTCAAGCATAGGAGACAAGGAAGAAGCCCCCCCCCCAAAAAAAAGAGTACAGGAATCCTACACTCAGGAGTCCCTGAGCCACAACACAGAGTTGATAATTATTTCACAATGGCAGCTAAATAATCCTTGTGATCCCCTGTCTTAAAACACATTACCATGAGACGACCTCAGGGAAGCAGTCCTCCGAAGGATTTTGCAGTAGTTTCGTAACTGTTTGAAGCCACAACTGCACTGAAAAAAGTTCCTTGTGGTTCTTTTTCACACTTATGACCGTTGCAGCATCCCCCACGAGACCAAACTTCAACCGCTTGGCCACTGAATCATATTTATGACGGCTGCAGTGTCCCGAGGCTATGGGAATCCCTTTTTGATACCTTCTGACAAGCAAAATCAATGGGGAAAGCAAGTTTTGCATAATAACCGCATTACTAACTTAACAACTATGGTGATTCATTTAATAACTGCAGTGAGAGAAGTCTTAAAATGAAGCAAAACCCGTTTAACAAATCTCGCTTTTAGCAACAGGCATTTTGCACTCAGTTGTGGTTATTTGACTATCTAGGAGTCCCAGTCCAATCATTCAAATGATGCAAATCACACTGAAGGAATAAGCAGAGTGAAATACCAATCACTGTCGAGTGCTCAAGTGTGTCTTGCACAAACCTGGTATAAAAGATAGACAACAGTCATTTTTGCATGAAATAGTAGGGCACATACAGGTGGTAGCAATGACAGCATGCAGGGTTCCAGTCTATTTAGTTTTAGAGGAGCAAAGTGGAGGGAGGTCACACTAAATATTTGCCACGTTACCCTCAGAAAGCTGTTTCTGAATTTTTGAATACTGCATGCAACTGTATTTTCTGGTTGTATTCCAATGAGGGGAGACTCAGATATAACTCTACATGGTCATCCCACTCTTGCTACAACCACCACCTAATGTGGACCAGAAGGTTTTGCACACAATTGTACATTTTAAATGTGCTCACCTTTTGCTACTTTTTCCCATTTTACTGAAAGCCTGTGCAGGTTAAACTAATATCCCGTAAGAAGTATGGGGAACTGTGCATTGAATTAACTGAGCTCTCTGTGTGTGCTTTTTAACCCAATAATGTAACAATGACAGAGTTGGAAGGGACCTTGGAGGTCTTCCAGCCCAAGCAGGAGACCTTATATACCATTCCAGACAAATGGTTGTCCAGTCTCCATCTCCAGTGATGGAGCACCCAAAACTTCTGAAGGCAAGCCATTCTACTGCTTAACTGTTCTCACTATTACAAAAAAAAAATCCCTTAATTCTAGGTTGCTTCTCTCCTTGGTTAATGTCCATCCATTGATTCTTGTCTTGCCTTCGGTTATTGGGGGCTTCTTCAATAGATCAGACTGGCACTTTAAGGGAGGGGAGATTCTTCCTACCTG